AAAAAAAAAAAACTTTGGAAACCTCCAAAAGAAGCCAAAACAAAACCTATCCAAATACAAAAAATGAAAGGTAGCTTTATTATGGTAGTATACAAAAAAAAAACAAAAACAGGGAAGATCAAGGACGGCGAATCATCAGACATGCGAGAGAGAGGGAGATGGAAGAACGAGGATAAGAAAAAAAGACAAACCAAAACCAAGCCATGGAGATATGAAAAACGCGCAAAAAAAAGGCACATAAAATATTCAATGAAGCACAAACAATCCGGCGGCCATACTTGGTACTGGGCCCAATGTCCCTTAAAATAAGATTACATGAGATTACAATAGAATGTTTGATGATGATTTCAAGAATGCCGACACCAAACGGGGGAAAAAAAAAAAAAAAAAAAAAAAAAAACAAAGCCATTACCCAGCTTCGGTTGACAAGTAGTTGAGAAGATTTTGAAGAAAAATGCAAAAGAATTCATGAACAACTGCAAACCCTTCATCTACCCAGCTTCGGTTGACAAGTAGTTGAGAAGATTTTGAAGAAAAATGCAAAAGAATTCATGAACAACTGCAAACCCTTCATCNAAACCCTTCATCTACCCAGCTTCGGTTGACAAGTAGTTGAGAAGATTTTGAAGAAAAATGCAAAAGAATTCATGAACAACTGCAAACCCTTCATCCACCCATCCGATAACTCCAGCTGGCACTATCAACTACTACCAACCTAACCAGCTTCAAAAGTTTGTGGGCGTACCAACAGTTCGTGGGTGTACAAACCAAGATAGGGGCTCGTTAGACACTCCTCGGGCGCTCAAAAATCCCGAGGAAATGATCGTTCCATCTGTCCTCGGAGAGAATTCCTTGGAAACCGATGTGAAAACATTTCCTCGGGGCATCCTCGGGCCGTCCTCGGGCTACAGGCATATTTGGCTGTGCTCCCCAAGGTACCTCGCGAGGTCCCTCGAAGTGGGAGTTTCCGCGAAATTCGGGACAGCGGCGGCGCTCTTCGACGACGTCAGAATTTTGTAGTCTGGTACATTGTTGGTCCAGCCGAGGTGCGGGCGGACATTAGCGGCCGGCAACGTTCGACTCCGGCGGGAACGACCGCAACGGTAAGGTTGGGTGACGGACGGGGTCCCTGGCCGTTGCCGGTTTATCCCGACCCCTCACCAGCGCCGGCGGGAAACGGGAAGGCCTCCAACGGCCAGCCGTTTCGAAAATGACAGCGGCGTACGTCCGTCACCGCGCGCAGTGGTCCACAATGTAAAGCGGCAGAGGGCGTCGGCAGTCGTCTGGTTGTCGTCTGCTGTTTGCCGCCGTCTGGGTAGACGTTACGTTGTCGTGCGTTGTCATCGTTAGTTGCCCTTGCGAGAACGGTTGTGTTACATCGCCGACGTGCTCCGCAAGCTGCCGCTGGTCCTCCTCGTCGAGATTCTGCTTGTAGTTGTCGTCTTTGTTCAGGTGTGCATATTGGGGAGGTTGCCTTCACGTACTCACAGGAAACGAGGGGTGAGGAAGAGCGTGGCCATGGACGGGCGGCGGCCGAATGTTGCCACGTTGTCCGACACTTATCCCAGCCACCGGCCTGCAATCTGCACCGGTGTAAACAGAAGGGCGGCAGGTCCGTCGATGTACGAAGGACTCCCGCCTCACATGCAGCCTCTGCCCCATTCGAACGAGGGGGAGGCGGACGTGGACGTGTCCAACACAGTTCCGCTGGGTAGCGGGTCGACCCAGGAATGGACGGGTAGCCAGTTGTTTGATGGGCGCGGAGCGAAGTACAGGCAGTCGTTCACTTCCCTCCTCCATGAAGGTGCCCAGAAAGAGGAACGCCTCCCCCCTGTGGATCTCACATTTGGCCTGCGGAGCGGGAGCCCATCTTCTGCCATGCGCACTGTGCTTGTGAACCCTCATCCCGACGACAACGCGGGGCAGGTGACATTGGTCGGCAGGGGCACGAGGGGTGGTTCAATGCGTTAGGAGACGTCCGAGAAGACGAGGGAGCGGCCTCGAGTGCAGAAGACTTCTGGCCCGTCAATTCCACGCACCTCCGCTGGTCGCCTTGAGTGGATGAACCCCCCTCCTACGTTCTCCAGGGGCCGCTACACCGTTCCTCGTCCAGTTGAACGGGGTGTGAGTGCGGAAGACTTCCCTTTCGAGGGCGCGCGTGGAGATGGCACGCGGGTATGGAAGGAGTCGAGGCAGGAGGTGAGGAAGAGCGTGGCCATGGACGGGCGGCGGCCGAACGTTGCCACGTTGTCCGACACTTATCCCAGCCACCGGCCTGCAATCTGCACCGGTGTAAACAGAAGGGCGGCAGGTCCGTCGACGTACGAAGGACTCCCGCCTCACATGCAGCCTCTGCCCCATTCGAACGAGGGGGAGGCGGACGTGGACGTGTCCAACACACTTCCGCTCGGTAGCGGGTCGACCCAGGAATGGACGGGTAGCCAGTCGTTTGATGGGCGCGGAGCGAAGTACAGGCAGTCGTTCACTTCCCTCCTCCATGAAGGTGCCCAGGAAGGGGAACGCCTCCCCCCTGTGGATCTCACATTTGGCCTGCGGAGCGGGAGCCCATCTTCTGCCACGCGCACTGTGCTCGTGAACCCTCATCCCGACGACGACGAGGGGCAGGTGACATTGGTCGGCAGGGGCACGAGGGGTGGTTCAATGCGTCAGGAGACGTCCGAGAAGACGAGGGAGCGGCCTCGAGTGCAGAAGACTTCTGGCCCGTCAATTCCACGCACCTCCGCTGGTCGCCCTGAGTGGATGAACCCCCCTCCTGCGTTCTCCAGGGGCCGCTACACCGTTCCTCGTCCAGTTGAACGGGGTGTGAGTGCGGAAGACTTCCCTTTCGAGGGCGAGCGTGGAGATGGCACGCGGGTATGGAAGGAGTCGAGGCAGGAGTTGCGGTGGCAGCAAGAAGAGTCCATAACGCAAGGTGTGCAACGATTACGCGTGGGCGAGCGGGCCGGGCAAGCAGACGCAGTTGGCGGGGGGGGTGGCGTCTGAACAGACGGTGACGAAGTTGAGTGCGACGTTGAGGAGGACGACAGCGGTGACGTGTTCCCGTTGCATGTGCCGAACATGGGTGGCAGGGGTGGCAGGGGCGGCAGAGGAAGGGCTTCGACGAATGCTGGGCGGAGGCGGAAGAGGCCGTCGGCGACCTCTACTGATGCGGAAGGTGAGGGGGATGGGGAGGGTGGCCGGAATTTTTGGTATGTGGATCACATGGTGACCCTCATAAGGGCGAAGCGGGATCAGGACGCCCAACTGCAAGCGGCGGGGCACGCATTCGCACGGATGTAGTCGAGGGATTGGACGTCCGGGAGAGGTTGTTGAAGGTCGGTGTTGACAGGCTGGCAGACAAATGCGGGAAGAAATGGGATAATCTCATGCAACAGTTCAAAAAGATCCACACTTTCATGGGCATGTCGGGGAAGGAGTACTTCTTCCAGTTGACGAGTCAGCAGAGGGCAGAGAAAGGATTTAGCTTCAACATGGATCGGCCCATCTACGAGGAGATCAAAGGAGCGAAGGAGAGGAGCCACACTATCAGCCCGAGCAGTGTTGCAGACACCGGTGGCGCAGGAAGTGTGCAACTCCCATCTGCTCACTCAGCGACTCCGGAGTCTGTGGGTGACGGGGATGTCGCTGGAGATGGCAACGACGAAGACCACAGCTCAGCGCGTGGGGCCTCACGGACGACTGGAAGTCCGGCCAGTTTCGGGAAGAGGAAAAACGTGTGGCAGCAGACATTCGAGGCCTTAAGCGAGTGCATGGAGAAGCATGGGGCGTTGATGGCGTCGACGATGGAGAGCGCGAGCATTAGGCAGTGCGAGGCGATGGAGAGCACGAGCAAGAGGAAATGCTCCATTCAAATTCGGCGGTGTGAGGCTATCGAAGCGGAGGTGGAGGTCCAGAAGCAACATTGTGTTGCGTCCAATGAAGTTAGCAAGTTTATGTGTCAGGCGCTGATGGAAATAGCGAAGGCTATACGAGAGCGATAGAGGGGAACGTCAGCCACAGGGCATTTTTCGGCTATGGATGTCACTTTGTTGCCACGCACGTGTCGTGTACTTAAGTCGGATGGAGCTCATTCGCATTCGTAGTTCATTTCGTGCCATGGGTTTGTTTTCGGTTTGTGTCCGTAGAGTAATGGCAGATTGCCTGTCGTGCGCGTACTTCTGTCGGTCTGTCCGTCTTCTCTGTGGATTTATTCCATTGTTCATTGTGGAGCGCGGATTGCCCTTGTGTTTTTACTTGTTTGTTTATTGCTTCGGCCGTAGTTGTAGTGTGCTCGTAATCGGGAGGTGGTCGGATGATCCGACCATACTGCAATGATGAACTTGGCGGGTATAGGTTCTTGGACGACGGTTTGATTCATTTCTTCAATTTGCGAAGTGGATACATAGAGAGAGAGAGAGAGAGAGAGAGAGAATTGGAAATTTGTTATTGTTGGCTCCTATTGCTGAATTTGGCTTCCAGTTCGTGTCACCGACGATGCACTTGTTGAATGTATGTGTTCCCTTGTCCTTTGTGTATTGGTTTGTTAAAGAGAGAGAGAGAGAAAAAAAAAAAAACCTTTGATTTGCAATATGGTAGGTTGTTATGATGTGGACGTTTTCTTGGTTCTCTTCACTGCATGATATTTGCTTTCCTTGCAGTAAATCACGTGTCACAGGGCACCACGTATTTCGTTTATTGTGTCGTATTGAATGAACATTTCTTTAATCAACGGTATTGCTATTTATGTCACGACATTTAACATCTCCCTTGAAAAAGTTTCGAAGTTTGAAATTCAATTTGTATGTTGGACTTCCCTTTACTTTTTTTTTCTTTTTTTTTCTATTTATTTTTTTGTTTTCGGGCGTGCATATCAGACTCCTATGACACGGCAAGTCCCTTCACTGCATAATTTTTTTTTTTCAGGCGGCAACACATGCAGTGTTCGTTTTTTTTGGGGGGGGTCTAATTGGCGGAATGCCGCATACCCACAGTCCGTGTGTCGGAAAAGGCGGTTGCAAATGGAATGGTCCCTCTGGCCATTGCGTTCACCCTTGTACCCAACTTGTGCACTATCGCCGGCGCATGACGAACATTTGCCACGAACACGATATGACGACATCTTCGCATTCGGACTCCTCGTCTCGCACTGCCTTTGTTGCCGCCATCACGCAGTCCCGACGTCATCTTCACGTTGGGACTCCTTTTCGAGCAGTGTGTGTCTCGCCGCCATCTCTCTCGGCAGACGTCATCTTCACGTTCGGACTCCTGTTCGCGCACTGTTCGTCTCGTCGCCATCTATCTCGCCAGACGTCATCTCCACGTTGGGACTCTTGTTCGCGCATTGTGTGTGTCACCGCCATCTATCTCGCCGGACGTCATCTCCACGTTGGGACTCCTGTTCGCGCAGTGTGTGTCTCGCCGCCATCACTCTCGCCAGACGTCATCTTCACGATGGGACTCCTATTCGCGCACTGTGTGTCTCGCCGCCATCTCTCCCACCAGACGCCGTTTTCGCCAGACGTCGTATTCACGCTTGGACTCCACCTGCGCAGGCTTTCCCTCGCCGCCATCGTTCTCACCCTTCCTTCTTCTCGACCGGTCGTTTTTCTCCCCGTTCGGTCGGGCATCGTTGTGGCAGCCGTGTGGTTGTCGACTTTTCGTCCTCGCCATCATCGCCGAATGTGCGGTGTCATTAACATCCATTATGTCTTTGTGCATCATTGATGCTAATTTGATATTGTGTGCTATGGCGAACGTTCGTTTTATATCGCAGACGTGTTTTCTTATATTTGTTCTTTCCGATTGCAAAGCTTCCATGTAAAGTTGTGGGTGATAAGGTGAATTCTGCGTGAAAGATTGACGTTTTCAGTCAGTGACCTTCTTTGTCGCGCACTCATCGTTCAAGCATTCACAACACTTTTACGTAGATGAAGACGAATGATTGGCAACAGAAAATATGCACTCCAACATTTGGACCGTGGACATAGGTGAAGTCAAATGAATGCTATCATCAATGGCTTGCACTCGTTCACATCATCACGCACGTAAATGCGCCCTCATCTCGGCACGCAGGGCACATGAAAGGGAAGAAAATAGTCCACGACAAGCAATAAAACTCGGCGAGCATAAAACAATAATCATCAAACCCTTGTAAACAAATAAAAAGTACACTGTGCGCAGTACTGCGCTACGAAAATCTGGGAAAAGGAACCCGGACGCATGCATACGTCTGTCGCACACCACAGACCCGAATCCCGCATCCATGCGGTTCACAGACAACAGTAATCGGGCGCCACCACCACATCTGCCGCCTTATGGCTTGCGCATAAACTGGGGATAAAGCACTATCAACGCGTCAATGTGAAAGCACGAATCGAAAGAAAAACAAAAGAAAAAACGCTCGTCAACAATCTCTATGTGGAGGACACACTGGAGGGGGAGTAGTAGACTACACAGACGTTCTCCGGTCTTCGTCCCACAATGACGACGATAACTTCGACGGCATCACACGATCTACTGTCTCCTTCGTCTCTCCGCATGCCGCTTCCTTCTAATGCCGCCGTCAAACGCCCTTCCACGTACGCAGCTTACATCTACTTCCGCTCCACGCCGCCGACATCTCTCATCGCTGCATCATTCGCTCCGTCAGCGCTTCACGCAGCATGACCGCTTCCCCCGTACAAGTTTCCATGCACAAAGGCCTGGGGGGGCGCTGGATCCCAAGATCCACTCGACGGCGAACTCCGTTGGCGTCTCATCGAAAGGGATCTCGGCGTTGATTAGGATGTTGTGCAAGATGCAGAGGGCCACAAACTGTTGCGGCAAGGTCTCCATGTTTGTCTTGTGCGACCCAAGGAACAACCGCCACATTTCCTTCAGTCTCCCGAAGGCCCTCTCCACCGCCCCCCTCGCCGTCTTCTGTTTGTTGTCGAAACGGGCCTCGAACGGAGTCTGCGCCGTGCTGCCGTAGGGGACAACCATCCATTCGCTCGGCGGGTAACCATTGTCGGCCATCAGATAACCATTGGTCTGCACTTGGAACGACAGCAATACAGGAGGCCCTGTGAATAACTCGCCCGCCGCCGCACGCGACCAAAGACTTGACAGATGGATGACCCTGACGTCGTGGCAGCTCCCCGAATAACCCACGAACACATCGAGGATGCGCAAGTCCAAATCCACCACAACTTGAGCGACGACAGAGAATCGTCTCTTGCGGTCGTAGTAGTCTTCTGGAGCCGCGTTCGCCGGCTTGTCGATGTAGGTATGGGTGCAATCAATGCACCCATGACAGTTCGGGAAACCCTTGTCCCCAAAAGCACGCAGAACAACCACCTTCCGCACCCCAGTCGGCCACACCACCTTCTCCCTGTACACCAAAAGCAGCTCAGCTGTGACGTCCCGGATGGCCACCAAACCCGAAGCCCTGCCAATTCCAAAGCTGCAGGTGTTGCTCTCGTATGTCTCGCCAAACGCCCATCTGTAAAGCGCGTAGGCGACGATGTGGTCTGGCTGCAAAGGTTCTCTGTAGAACGTCACACGTCGCTCGAAAATCGGCGTCAAAATCTCAACGATCTCACGGAAGACACGTGGAGACATCCGTAATTTGTCGCGGAAGTAGTCTTCACTGGCGTCGTCTGCAGGCCGAAGATCCTCCCAGGTCCCCCCCGTCCTTCGCTTCACCCACCACCTCGGGGTCGCCCTAGGCAGTCCCCCACCCCAGGGCGCAGCATACCTCAAAGACGGCGTCACTGATGGCGACGCTATCCAACCCTTCACACGTCGGCGGCTGCATCGCCTTCCTTCTTCGAGCGCGTAGCCGTGCCCACCGTCGTTCGCCTTCGACCTCCGTCTCGCAATGCATGATGACGGCGGCAACGGCGGACGTCACTGCAGCCCTCTCCAAAGCGGACAACCTTGGCCCGCCCTCATCCCTGCCACCGACCGAAAGCATATCGACCACGGAAGACATCGCACCCATCCACGCCGCCAGAAGTCGCCCAAATGACCACACAAGGCCGCCACCAATGGACACTGGCAATGAAGAAGTTCGCGGAGACGACGTTTGGGGCAGAATACGTGAAAGCGAACACGCAAGACGGCGGTGGCGCTCACTGCTGCTGTCATAGCCTGGGTGCGTCACGTCTTCTAATACGTGGCCACGTCTGTGCTGACGCCCAAACGGCCATTGGCCGTTTCCGCATGAGGCCCACTGCAACACCCCTGTGCTTCCCTAATGGGGCCGTCACACGCACGCATCTCCCCGCCCCGCCGCACCAGACGCCACGGTTGGCCGATTCAAATTTCGAATTTTGAAATCACACGCGCGTGCGCGCAATTTTTGTTTTCCCGCGGAGGCGGCAGTCCCTTCTCAAATTCGCCGCCCATACGCGGTGGACCAAGTCCAGCCAGATGGACACCACACGAAGGACCACCGCCCAAACACTCGTCCCGCGGCCGCATATAACATTATACGACTCGCCGCGGCCCGTCCTCGAAGCATCCTCGGGGATCGTCCCGAGGGACGAGTGGAACGAATGCGGGAAAATCCTCGGGCTGCCCCGAGGATTTCCCCTTGGAGCCCGAGGACGCCCCGAGGAGTGTCTAACGAGCCCCATAGGCTCGTTGGTGCTACGGAAGCCTTTCTTTCTTTCTTTTTCTTTTTTCTTTTTTCTTTTTTTTAAGAACAGTTTTATTCTGGTTTTGGTTGCATCTGGATTTAAACTCAGGTATATATTTCAACAGGTCGCTGGTATACCAACTGGCCTAGGCCCGTTGATGCTACGAAAGCCTTCCTTTTTTTTTCTTTTTTTTTTTAAAGTCCGGTAATGATTTTTTTTATTTTTTTTTACAAGCTGGGAACTGGGCCCGGCGTCGCTCACAAAACAAAAGGGCGGCCGCAGCGACGAGCGAGGTATCATCGGCCAGGTTCGCCTCCCGTACCGCCTACTCCAAACAGGGAATGAGTCCACACACAATCAATATCTGTTCCGCCCTCCTCTCCTTCATGCTCTCTCTCTCTCTCATCTAGGAGGAAAAAAACTTAAAAAGGGTAGGAAAACTGGACACACCGCTCCAGGACACGCCATATCGTCGTCGCTGTTGGCTACACAATGAAGATGCATTAGAAGGGTGGGAGAAAAGACGCTCAAATATAAGAAATCACACGCTGACGGTGGAGCCTAGAAGAGTCTACAGAAAAAAAAAGGCAGAAAATTTCAGCTCGGGGGCACGGCCAGAGTCCGCTGACATTGCCACCGCACCCGAAAACCGCGGCCAATGTGTATGGAAACTTCTAAGAGCCTTCGCCGAGAAGCACACCCGAAAACCACTTGAAGTGACAAGTCCGTAGAAAGCATCTTTTCCGCACGGACCATCGGGTGTAAAAGTCCTCCCCCCCCCCCCCCCCCACGCAGTGCTGACTTCCGCTACGGAAGCCTTTTTTTTTTTTTGACAAAATACACAACCTCTCGGTTCTGGCTCCTGCCCATTACGGAAACCTTTAGCATCAGAAACGAAAATTGACTGGAAGGAAAAATAAGAGGGTGGCGGCCTGTGTTATAAACCAGGCCGCCCAGCCAGGAAAGGACCAAGGAAGGTCCCTGTCTATATATATATATATACATATATATCGTCACAATATATATATCGTCAAATAGAACTGCCCGGTAAACCGTAGGCAGAGAGAGAGAAGAGGACAACAAACGAGGGGCTGTGACAAACTGTTTCGTCGGAGTTTCACCGACTCATCAGG